AAGGAAAGAGGGAGAAAACGAAAGAAAGGAAACCACCAGAAGGAAATGCACCTGCCCAGTGTCCACATTTGTCAAGTCCTTTATGCAAGAGGACTCTGCATGACTGTGGATTTCATAATACTTTTTCCCAGAATGTCCATGCATTCCTTTTATCTTTACTTTCTTACGTATTAAGAAATATTGGAGGAGGGAGAAAGCATTAGGGATAATGCTGGTCCTCAGTTCCTTATCTGCCATTCCAAAATCAAACAAGCTCTGAATATAGATTTTTTATTTTCTCTCTTAAATTTGTCAGCAAAACCTGGTCATTGAGATGGAAGACCGTTTACAGGTTTTACGTCATTTCCAGTGAATATTCAGCAACCCTGGTGGTGTAGTGTAATGGGTGTTGGGCTGCAAACTAAAAGGTTGGCAATTGGAATCCATTTAGCTGTTCCAAGGGAGAGGATAGACGGTCTCCTCCAATGAAGATTTTATAGCCTCGGAACCCCAAAGGAGGGTTGCCCTGAGTTGAAATTGACTCTGTGTGTGTGTGTGTGTGTGTGTGTGTAAGGGAAAGAGAGTGATATCAAGTAGACCATGGAGCACCACTCAACCCCATTTGGAGTGTTCTGTAATATATCACACGTATCTCTCCAAAAGCCACAAAATTCTGAATTCATAAACTCGTGCAGCCTCAGCAGATATGGACAAGGGTTGTGGGCAGGCGTGACAGGCACTTATGTCCCATCACTCAGCTTATGAACTAGAAAAGTACCAAAGGGGGCTCTCGGGTGGATGCTGCTGTGTCAGCACGTGGGAGCCTGGGTTCGAACTAGAAATAAACTTTATTAATTCGGAAAAAAGAGAAAAAAAAAAAGAAGAACAGTACCAAAACTGTTGAAACCTTCAAATGTGCCCCTTAAAGCTTGCATCATATGATATCTGAAGGAAAGCCATGCTTCAAAACAAAAACAAAAAAACAATCACAGTGGAGATAGGTGAGAGGAATTTGGAGATTTCTGAGATGCCCAGATGTTCCCTCACTGGGCTAGGTCCCCTGCTCCCCACTTTTATCAGCCCCATCTTACCTCTTCAAAAGTGTAAGTCACAAAGGGTTGTCCGCCTGGCTGAGAGACGACGAATGTCACCATCACAGAAGAACTGACCACGACGCCCTGGCTTTGACAGGAGAGCTTGGGCATCTTCAGGCAATGGACAGTTACCTGGGCCTGGTTCAGGGGAAAGCCCCCAAAAAGCTGTAGGAGACAAGGAATCCAGAACAAAGACCAATGAGAACAACTGTAGTCTCTGTGACAAAAATATAAGGAGAAAGCTGGCTTCGGGTCCTAGGGTTGAGAGGGGAAAGGGGAACAGTTCGGCCTTCATGCTCGGCCCCACCCAGCACTAATTGGCCTTGTGACTTGGGCATGACCCTGGTCCTCTTGGGCCCTCAGTTTTCTGTGTAGCAGTGATGCTGCTCCTTGTTCTGCTCAAGTTCTGTTCTGTTTGGTAAAGGTGCTTGCACTTATAGCCTTCTTTGTCTCACCTTTCTTACCTGTTAAATGAGATGAGAGTATTGACCTCATAGGATGGTTGTGAAAATTGAATTAGATAATCTGCATCAATCAATTAGAACAGGACTTATTGTTTTTATTAAATGGTATTTATAGAGTACTGACCAGGCTTCAACCCTCAGAAGGTGGGGATATAGTAAAAAATGAAATAGACGTGATCTCTACTTTGAGGAAGCTCAACATTTCTCAAATTTGCTAAATAAACTCATAAAGAAGTGGAAAGTTGCAACTAGGCAGTATTTTGGAGGAAGGACACATCTGGCTGAGAGAGCCTTTAAGAGGTCAGGGAAGCCTGCCCTAAGAATGAGGCCAACTCAGTGGGGAAGAGAGTGGAAAGCATTCTGGGCAGATGGTAGAAGAAGGTGGAGAACAAAGAAAACAAGAACAGCAGGCAACTGGTGGGTCTGGGAAGTGTGGCCTGAGATGGGCTGGCGGGTCAGCAGGACCTCTGAACCGAGCTTGGGAAGCCCCCTTCTCACACAAAGAACTGAACCAACGAGCACGTTCCAGGGAAGGTTTTATTTACTACACAGGAGCTTTCAAAATTTAAAAAGGGATAATCCGCCTAAGAAGAGTGAATTCAAAGCCATCACTACATGTAGGGGGCCAGAGAGAAGAGGACCTGGATACAGATTCTGATTACATTGGCCTGACACCTTCAGAGGATGAAGCTGTTTCACTTTGGTGAAAAAGAAAGAAAATTACTCACCAAAGGAAGTCACAAGGAACATTGGGGTGGAGGTAGGACCATAAATGGAAAGGCCAAGGCCAGGCACATGCAGGCCTGGTATAAGCGTTAATACCACAGCAGATGCAGGATTTCCTGAAATGGTATATTGGCATGGCAATGTATGGCGTGATCTCTGTAATCCCCAGCAGAAATAAGTGCAAAGCCACTCTCAAAGGGCATTTAGGTAACACAGGGTGCAGAATATGTTCACAGGAAAACCAACTCCACTATATGTAATCTTACAATCAGACAAAAAGTTACAAACTGGGGAAAGCAATCTGTCATGAACTAGCATGCACAACAAGTAAGCACAGAGGTACTCCAAGAATCTGACATAATTGAACGATCCAGAAGAAATTATAAAATCATCATTTTTTAAAGGGAGAAATCATCATAAAATGGCAGGATTCCAGAGAGGGGAAAGTAGTTCTATTTGAAAACCAATTAAATAGAATTTCTAGACAGAAAAAAGTTGATATTGAAATAAAAAATTCCATGGATAAAGAAACAGATTAGATAGGTAGGTAAAAAAATTAGTTAATTGAAAAATATTTGAAGAAACTGTTCATAATTTAGTATAGAGATATAAACTGCCATCATATTTATTCTGACTCGTAATAGCCTTATAGGACCAAGAAAAGTCCTTTTTTAAAATATTTTTATTTATTTATCCTTTTTATGTGTGTACCGTCAAATTGGATCTGACTGGTACAGGAGGCAGTTGTACCTCCTTCTTCAGCAGAGCATCTGGTGGATTTGAACTGCGCACCTCTGGGATTGCAGTGCAGTTTCCTGCCACTAGGCCACCAGAGCTCACCAAGAAAAGTCCTTTAAGACTGAATCTTCAGAAGAGCAGATTGCCTCATCTTTTCTTCATAGGGTCACTCTGAGTCGTACTCAACTCAGTGGCACTTATCAACAACAACGGGCCACTTGGAACCCTGAAGGAAGGGATGAGATACAACTTTTAGTTCAGTGCTTGTCACCTAGAAGGGATGTAGTGTTAGCCATTACAATTCTTGTCATCGATTGTTTTGGGGAACTCCTGATGGAAGAGCAGCATTACAGAAGTGTATGTGATTAAACACACCCATGGTTGTTATTACCTCCTGTAAGATGTCCTGGTTGGTACTGAGACCGTGGCTTTCCAGCATTGCCTAAAAAAAAAAAAAAAATATATATATATATATATATATATATAAATGATGGGCAACAGTAAGAGTTAAGAAGGTCAGCAGCCCTGAGAGAGAAACTTCACAGAGAGAGAGAGAGGGTGGGGTGGCAATGGCTGAGTCCCTCCCCAAAGCTAACTCCTACCCTTTTCCAGATCAAGATCTCAGGAGCTCTGGCCAGGGTAAGGTGGGCAGAAGCCCCTGATCAGTAGCAGAAGGCCTGGCTTCTGATCCCTGCTCTGTCATTCATAAGCTTTTGGGACCCTGGGCAAGTTTCTTCCCCTCTGTGAAACTCGGTTTCCCTTGTGGTTCAATGAAGAGTGTTGACTGGAAAACAACTTAAGTGTCTTGCTGTTACTTTGCGTGCTGTCAAGCTGGAACTGCCTCCTAGCCGGGCCTCCAGCTAGTTTTCAGAGGCTGTAAATCACATGGGAGGAGACTTCTCATCCTTCTCCCATGGAGAAGCTGGACACAATCTTGTGTCCACAATTAGAATCTTGTGCCACTCGGTTGACAGCACCCAACTTCTTACCACTAAGCCACTAGCACTCCCTTAGCTTCCGGTAACCAATACAGGCTTTGGAGACACCTCTTTTGAGCATAGGCAAGTCACCTAACTGCTCCAAGCTTTTATGTCGTCGTCGTCTTTTTTTGTTGTTGTTGTTCAATGGAGGCAACAATTACATGCAATTCACTGAGTGAGTGTGATGACAACTCAAGCCAAATATATGACTATCCCTTTGTGCATACCTACTATGTACCCAATTCTGCACACCTATTTAAGCGTCCAGCACAGACAACTAGTATTTGTGTCAGCTCTGACTGTGTATCAGAATGGAATGCTACCCCAAAGGGTTTTCAATGACATCGTGGATATGGAGTTGTACTCCCAGTCCACCAGCTGCTCCATGGGAGATACATGGGCAATCTCCTCTTGTGCAATCAACAGCGTCTGAAAACACTGAAGGGTCCCCTGTGAGTCAATTCCAACTTGATCGTCTTTCCAAAGTAAGCACATCTGGGTGTGCACCCCACCCACCAACCTTTCAGTTATTGCCACTCTACCGTGTGGGCCACCCGGGATCTTATCAGCAGGTTGTTGCTGCTAAGTGCCATCAAGTCGGCTCTGACTCTTATGTCGAAGCAGACAAACCTTCACCCCGTGCTGCACTATTTAGATGCTGGGCATCCATCATTTTGCTCGGGGTTAGATGGTCTATGACCTTTTTTTAATATTTATTTTTTTATTATTCTTTTTAATGAACGTTTACAGGGTTTCCATTCATTCCTTGTTGCACGTTTCTGCCTGCCCAACCCTGCCCCCCAGCTCGCTCTTCTCTTTGAAAAGTAAAAGAAAAATTCTTTCATTGGTGTACAATTCTCCCCCATCCCCGAGTCCACGCCACTATGCAGCCTTCATTCTGGACTCTCGTAGGTCTATAACTTCTGTACCTACTTGTTAAAACTCCTTCCTCCTCAGCCTGTGCACATATGTCTCTGCATCACACACATGTATGGCTTCTCCCCTCAGCCCGGTCTGCGCTACTTACCTTGAACTCATCTCCTGACAGGCTGAGCATCAGACGGCCATCCTGGAATGCAGCCTTGGCTAGGGAGTCTAGGACTTGCTCAGAGAACCAGAAGTAGAGCATGCGAGAGTCTCCCAGGAGGCTGGGGGAGAAGGTGGGGAGGGAGGAGTCCTCCGAAACATTCTTATAGATGACGTGACCCTGGAGAAAGCAGGGGTACTCGCTGGACCATGGTATATCACCTGTCCCATGTCTCAACTTCCATGACACCAAGAAGAGCCCTGGGAAGCATCCAGTCCAGGGTCCAGGGGAGGAGATGGTTGTGAAAGGGCTGCATCCAGCAGGTCTGCCATTCATTCAATATTCCCTAGGTGCTTGCTACGCCTCAACCACTATGTAAGATGAACTAGACAGACATGGTCTCAGCAAGTCTCCTCGTCAAAACACCCAGGCCCCCATGCTCCCAGCTCCACCATGGCTGATCTCCAGACACTGCACCTTCAGAGAGCAGACAGCCAATGGGCCATCAGCCCCCGGAAGCCCAAATCAAGTAAACAAGCCACTTTCCAATTTCTATCCCATCATCCTGTGAGTGTCAGCACCTGAAACTGTCATTTTGTAAACTTTATGTGTACATTTTGTACTCGGAAACCCTGAAACTATCATTTTCGTACATTTTTGAGGGAGAAGTTCTACCACAGAGGTGGCCAGTTGTCTCCTCAAATCCATTTCCCCCCACGCTCTGGGTTCTGAAATGCTCATTTTTGAAAAGGCTTCATGGCAATTAGAATATGCGTCTCTGCTTCCTTTGAAACTACATGTGGCCATGTGACCAATTTCTGCCTAGCAGATATGATGGGAGTGACTTCTAGGCCATGTCTTTAAAGGAAAGGTCCAATGCCCTGTCTTTCCATTTCCCCTGACTAGGAGTGGACGTAGTAGTGATCAGGTGAGTCCATCTTGGCTCATGTAGGTGACAACACCTGAAGATGGCAGAGCAACAAGTGGGAAGGAGCCTGGGACTTGTACACTTGGACCAATAGGAAGGAAGGGAACAAATTTCTATCTTGTTCAAAGTGTTGTTATTTTGAGTCATTTGGCTGCAGTAACAGAAACTCTATCCAAAGTAATAGAGGGTCCAGATAGTTTGTCAGGTTTTCTCAAGGTGCAATTTCCCAAACTATTGGTAAAAAAAAAAAAAAATCAAGAATACAGGGGAGTCCTTAGCAAGGGCCTGGGGCTTCCCTGAGATTGTGGAATTGGGAATCCTAGTGCTGGCCAAGAGGACTCAAAGCCATGGGTTCTGCTTCCTGTGACATCGGGAAAGGCCCTTGAAAGGGTACAATGGCCTTGACCTTAGACTGGCTCTCAGAGGAGTGGGCTCCTGGTCTCCATGACCATGAAGTTAGGGTGGGCATCAGGGCATCTATAAGGACTCAGCCTGAGGAACACCCAGGGAGACTGAGTCCCTTTTCCCACCTTCCCACCACTTTTACCTTGTGATGAGATTCCAGGTAGGTAGCTTTAATGACAGGTGATCCAGTCAGGGAAATGTCCACCTCAATGTCTTTGTCTGAGAGGAAGTCCGCTGTGGGAGGAAAGCACTGAGACAAGGCCTCACGTTGGGGTCTAGTCGCCCCCTGCCTTGATTCACTAACCCATCCTCCTCTGCAAATTAGGGCCTTGGTCTCCAGCTCCAGTGATTCCACCCGTGAAGTGGGTCCTGGGGTGCATAGGCTCAGGGCTGCCTGACCATAGCTAGCCATAAGTGTCAGAGGGCTATGAGACCAGCCAGTGGGTTACACAGGAGCCACCAATGACCTTCTGGCTTCCACACTACCTTCTAAATAAGGCACATGGGCTGAGCTGCACTCACCGGCCCTCATCTGGACGAAGTCAGCCATGATATTAGCGATGACATTGATCTCTTGGCAGACCTGGAAGGAGGTCAGAGAAGGGGCGTGGTAGGAGGTCGGAGAAGGACCTCCCTCTTGCTGGGGTGGGGTAGCAGTGTTGGAACGGGCAAGGGAACCTGGCCACAGTGGGCACATTCTCCAGGAAGGGAAGGCAGCAAGGTGGGCCCAGGCCCTTCGGCACAACCCTGGATGGCAGGGCTGTGCAGGGCAGCAAGCCTACTCACTTGTCTCTTCAGGACCAACTTCAGGGTTAAGGAGATGAAGTTTGTGAACAACTGCTTGATCCACCCAGGGCTGAGGGAAGCGAACACGCAGTCAACACCTTCCAGTTTGGTGGTCAGTGAGCACTAATGCTTTGGACTCTGCCAGCGACGGGGCCCTTGGGACCTTTGTCTTGGCTGGAGACAAGCTCTATCATGCCCATTTTACAGCTGAGAACACTGAGGCTCAGAGAGGCAAAGCCAGTGCTAGGCATCACAGAGCTGGGATTCAGCACTGACTTGTCAGCACAGTAACATCCCAGAGTCCCGCAAGAGACCCCTGTTCCCATCACACTCACACCTGCCCAGCACTGGCAGGTGGTCAGAGGCCTAAAGTGAGGGCTCCTCCCACTTTCCCAGCTTCCTCCTTGGCTTGCACATGTCCCTGTTTGTCTCTGAGCCTCAGTGGTACCTACTGAGAAATGGGGCTGCTCCCAGCTCCTTAACTGGAGATTAGCCAAGACAAAGACTACCTCTCTGTAGGGACCAGACGCTGAAGTGCTGGTACTACAAGATGCTGGATGCAGATTCTACCCATGAAAGGAGAGCTATGTGTCCTTGGGGGACTTACTTAACTTCTGCGATCCAGTTTCCACATCTTTAAAATGGGGATAGTAGCAGCACCTGCTCAAGGATTGTTGTGGGGTTTAACTTAATCACTTTAGCACAGTGTTTGGCCCACAGGAAGCAGCAGGCACTGGCTTGGAATCCTAGCTGTGGATTGGTGTAAAGCCTGGGATGCCCAGTGCAGAAAGTGGAGATGAGATTCTTCCCTCCTTCCCCCTTTCCTAGATTTTCTGTGTCTCAGTTTCCTCACATGCAAAAATCGTGATAATAACAGAATCCGTAGTTGGCTTGGAAAAACGCTTGGGATCAAAGAAATTCTAAACAAGTGTTAATGATTCTGTTCAGTCCTTTTAGAGGTTACTAATGAGAAGGAGAAGAAAATGACTCCCCTGAGGTGCTGGCCCCCCAGAGTTGGCTGCTCATAGGGCAGGGGACACCCCCACCCCTCCACACTCAAAGGTGCTTATGGACGGCAGGAGGGAGGGGACTGTTGGGGTCAGTACTTACTCACGCTCCCCATGGAGGTTCAGGAGTAGCTTGTGGAAAGACAAGTAGCAGTCGGAAGTATCGGCCTGCACGCGGCCAGAGTCACAGGCTGCAGAAAAGTCAAAACATCATGTCAGGTAGCCTCGGCCACCGGGCAGCGTCTACATGCTGTCCAGGCCTCGGGAGCTCGGTCATCCCGCTCAGTTCCCAGGCCCTGCCTCGGTGGCAGCCTCTGGCTACTCTCCCCACCCTGCCCTGCTGCCCTGGAGTCCCACCTCCCTGCCTCCCTGTGGACAGGGTATATACTCAGCTCCGTGTTGATCTGGAGGTCTATGGAAGTGTTGATCTCAAAGTCCACAGACTGACTGATGCCCAGCCTGCAAAGAGTCAAACATCCCAGACCTTCATTCAGCCCGCCTGCCCTGGGAGGGTCAGAGGGTGGGTGGTCCTGCCCCTGCAACGTGCAGAGTCGCTGAGTGGGAATGCTCACCCCCAGGCGCCGGTGTAGCCGTAGTGGAGAGTCCCCTTGAAAATCGTGGACACATTCTGAATGGAGATGTCGATGGATTTGTCTTCCACCAGCTTGACCTGGCTGCTGGCGATGGACAGGTGGCTGATCTGTATGCTGGGAGAACAGCCATACATGTCACTTGTAATAACAAGAGCAGGAATGAACCCGGAGAGCTTCCTGGAAGAGGGATTCTGGAAGGCGGGGTGTGCAGCCACTGAGTGGGATGAGAGAGTGTAGAGGAAAATAAGAGGAGGCTTGTCTCACCCTCTTCCCACACCCTCCTCGCCTGACTGAGATGTGGAGGGTTAGGGTTAGGGTTAGGGTTAGGGGAAGGCAGCATGAGGAATTGTCCTTAAGTCTCAGGGGTGCTCAGAGGGTTATTTCAGTGAGGAATCCAGAAAGCAAGAGCAGAGGTTCAGAAGCAGGGAAGATGGGAGGACACAATCAGACTTTTTCATCCTCTCCTCTTGGGAGCTCTGGTGGCCTAGCGGCAAGAAGCTGTGCTGCAATCCTGAAGGCACGGTGTTCGAGGCCACCAGCTGCTCCATGGGAGAAGGATGGGCAATCTCCTTTCATGCAATTAACTGCCTCTGAAAACCCACCAGAGGATCAGCTAAGGGTCAGTTCTGACAATAATGACAACAACAACATCAACAACAACAGCTCTTGTCTAGCCCCATCCTCGGCCTGGCTTCAACATGTGGAATGCAGCATCGTTAAAGTAGCACCAAGAATGTTTCAGTACAATTTTCAGAATCTCTTCTGACACCATTTGGTATTTTGTTTTTCCTCTGCCCTGGCAACTACGTTTTGCTTTCTTCCTTTGTGATGTCCTTGATGTCACCCCACCGCTCATCTGGTCTTCAATTGTTAGTGTTCGATGCCTCAAAGCTAGTCTTGAGATGCTTATTCACTGCAGGTAGGATAGACCCGCGGTGATATTTTAGTTCCTGTGGAATTGTCATCATTTTCTTCAGCTTCAATTTGGACTTGCACTTGAGGAATTGATGATCTGTGACACAGTCAGCACCTGGTCTGGCTCCACCTGCTGACATTAAGCTTTCCCTACAATTTTTTCCACAGACGTAGTCAGTCTGATTCCTGTGTTGTTCATCACCATTTGTGTCTGTGTTTTTTTAAAGGTATTTGCAATGATTGTCCAAAATCAAGTCATTGGTTCTCCAGCTTCATTTCCGTCACCAAGTCAATAATCTCCAATTACCAGGCCTTTGTTTCTTACCTTTGCATTCCAGTCAACAATTATTATTAATGCACCTTGATTGAGTGTTCTGTCAATTTCAGGCTGCAAAAGTTGGTAGAAATCCTCAATTTCCTGTTCTTGGGCTTTAATTGTTGGTGCATATATTTATTTAAATAATAGTTGTATTAACAGGTTTTCTTTGCATATATATGAATAGTATCCTATCATTCACAGAATTGTAGTTCAGGATGGATCTTTAAATGGGCTTTTTAAAAAAACTTTATTTTTTTCTTTTGTACGTGTTATTAATGATATTGTTAAATAGTTTTCATATCCTGTGGGAATCACTTTTTTAAATTTTTTTTACTTTCTACTAGTTTATTTACACAATTTGAATACACTATTTTCAAAAACAAATTATTTCAATTTCCCTCACCCCCCCACCCATCAAATTATACAACCTGATGATTTATCCCCCCTCCCCCTGCTCATACCCCGTCTTGGATCCTTATACTCATTCTACAATAATGGTTTTATACAATATTTATCCTTGTGGGACTGAATTAGTTCACTCAACATAATGCTCTCCAGTCCCTCCCAAGTTAGGTAATAATTTACAAAATCATTGCTCTGGAATGGTGCATAGTATTCCATTGTGTGAATATATCATAATTTCTCAATCAGTTCCATTCCATTTGGGCTGTTTCCATGTTCTTGTGATGATGAATAATGCTGCTATTAACATTGGTATACAAATCTCCGTTTGTGGCTCAGTTCTCATTTTCTCAGGGTATATTCCAACTAGTGAAATAGCTGGGTCGTATGGAATTTCTATGTTCAGCTTTTTGAGGAAGCACCAAACTGCCTTCCATATTGGTTGTACCATTTAACAATCCCATCAATAATGTGTAAGAGTTCCTTTCTCATCACATCCTCTCCAACATTTATTACTTGCTGCCCTGTTAAACTTTGCCACTGTTATTGGAGTGAGATGGTACTTCATTGTGGTTTTAATTTGCATCTCTCTTATTGCCCGTGATTCGAAGCATTTCTCCATGTGTCCATTTGCCACTGGAGTATCTTCCTCCTTCCATGTCTTTTGCCTGAAATGGCCTTTTTTAGAAAAAATATCTAAAATGTTATTTCATGGGAATGAAAATAAAATGACTCTGATGTGGAGAAATGAGGAATGCGGATCCTCTTAAAATAGACAGGAACGCAGCACCATTCTTCCTCATTTTTTCATTCCCAGCATAATAGATCATCTGATTGTCTGGTTTAAAGTGGCAAATATGGTCCATTTCAGCTCAGTATTGCCTCTTGTATCTATCTTCATGCATTTCATTTCACTTTTACAACTTCCAATTTTCTGACATTCATACTTTGCATATTCTATGTTCTCCTCATTAGTGATTTCCAATCTAGAAGTATTGTACCTAACTGTGCTCCTCCGTTGTTCACAGGGTTTTTGAAGGCCCATTATTTCGGAAGTGGATAGCCAATCCTGCTTCCTAGTCTGTCTAAGCAGAGGTGGGTGGTGCTTTGCTGTGAAGCTACAGCTCAGCTCCCACTAGCATGGAGCTACAATGACCCGGGTGGCAGCTGACTCCTTGATGCTGGTGCCCAGAACAAGGCCCTGGGGCCCAAGGCCGGGGGTAGGGTGGGGAGGGAACTCAGCTCATCGATCTTGTAAAATTCTGTTCTGTGATCTCCAGAGTCATTTCTATCAGCAAGAATATCTTTTTCCAATTATCAATTAGTCTTCTTTATTTTTGCTCTCATATTCCAATCATCAGTAATTATCAGTGCATGTGATATGTGATATCTGAATATTTGATCAAGCTCAGACTGCAGAAGTTGCTATAAATATTCAATTTCTTCATCTTTTGCATTACTGCTTGGTGTGTAAATTTGGATAATAGTTATATTAGCTAATCTTCTGTAGATAATATTCTGTCACTGACAGGAGTGTATTTTAGGATAGATGTTGAAATGTTCTTTAGGACAATGGATGTCTCATCATTCCCTTTCAATTATCATAGGAGAGTATATGATTGTCCGACCCAAAATGGTCAGTTTTAGCCCAGCTCAGCTTATTAATGCCTGGGATGTTGATCTTGATGTATTTATTCCATTTTGAAGTGGCAAGAAGCAGTGCTACGATCTTGAAGACACGGCTGCTTGATGGGAGAAAGACGGACAATCTCCTCCTCTATGATTAGCTACCTCTGAGACCTGCTGGAGGGTCAGCTGTGGGTTGGTTCCAGCTCTGCGGTACACAACAACAACAACAACAACAACTAGATTTCTATTTGTGCATCCCACATTCCTATATATTAATGGATGTTGAGCTGTGCCACATCAACGAACGAAGATCTTGAAAATTTTACTCCATCCACATCATTGTAGTCTACTCAACTTTGAGAGGATCCTCTTGGCCTAGTGGGTGAGACATTGCACTGTCAATTCAAAGGTAAGCAGTTCAAATCCACCAGCTGTTATGCAGGAGAAATATGGACAATCTCCTCTCCAGTAATTGTCAGCATCTGAAAACCTGCTTTGTGTCAATTCTGACTTGACAGCAAAGAATGAATCGACTCTGAGGAGGTAGATCGTTCCTGTTGTTGTTGTTGTTGTTATGTTTAGTTGGAACTGACTCATAGCTGGCCCTCCAGAGGGTTTCAGAGCAGTTAATCGTACAGAAGTATGTCCATCCTAAAAAAAAGGGGAAAAATCCCACCCACCAAAACAAACAAACAAACAAAAACCCCACCCAAGAACGTCCGTCCTTCTCCCACAGAGCAACTGGTGGACTTGAACCCCATAGCCTTTAGGATTGCAGGGCAGCTTTTTACCACCAGGCCACCAAAGTCTCATAGTCATTCTTCCCTAGTTATATTTTATTTTTGGTTATTTTTTTATTATTATTAATTTTAATGAAAGTTTACAGAGACATTGGATTTCCATTCATTCATTGTTGCACTTTTCTCCCTGCCCCTATGAAACATAAAATAAAAATTTTTTTATTGTTATACAATCCTTCCCCCGCCCTAGTCCACTCCGCTGTGCAGCCTTCACTCTAGACTCCTGTCATGACAATAATACCTAATCATATATCCCTTTGAAACAGTTCTCTCTGTCATCTGTTTCAATGCAGTACACATTATTTGTATTTTAAGTGGCTTCCGACCTAGGTGCTCATCTTCTGCTAGTTTTCACTGGCCACATGCTGTTTCTTAGTCTGTCTTAGGCTGACAACCCACAATACTCAGGTCAGACAGCAGGCAGCCACTTCACGAGGTTGTGGGAGCTGGTGAGCTCCAAAATTTAAAGGCCATGTTGCTGGCTCACATCCCAAGATTAGAGTGTGATGGGTCAGATGTGGGATCCAGAGAAAATGTAATAGCCTTGGAACGTACCATGCTCAGCAGGAAGAATTCACGTTTATGTTCTCTCATTCCCCTTGTCCTACTCTTTTCTGCTTCCCCCCCCACCTTTTTTATTCTTCTTTTAAAAGAGAGTGACTACTTAAAGAATTCTCATTATAACTAGTATCAGCTTATGTTAATATCCCTCATAGCCAATTGCATTTTCTCTCTATCCACCCATATCTATTTTCAATAAATATTATATAGTAACAAAATTGACTTTATGGCAGTCTAAGTTTATTAAGTTATTGCCGACTTAGTAAGGATAATCTATCTTTCAACTTTTCAAGGTGCTTTTGCCATCTCTAGCCTCTCGTGAGGAACTCTGGTGGTCTAACGGTAAGGAGCTGCACAGTCAACTCAAAAGTATGTGGTTCAAACCCACCAGCTGCCCTGCTGGAGAAAGATGAGCAATGCCCTTCTCCCATGTGATTGGAAGGCTCTTAAAGCCTGCTGGAAGGTCAGCTATGAGTTGACACTGACACATAAGAAAATAACAATCTCTTGTGATGCTGGTTAACGTAGGCACTAGCCACATTTTACAGAAGAGAAAACTGAAGCTCAAAGTCACACGGCACCACAGCTGAGCTAGGCAGCCGGAGTGTTATGAGAAAAGATTAAGTGGCTCCCCGTGTTGTTCACACTGGCTAACGGTTTTAACAAGAACCCCAGTATCGCATTAACAGTCTACAGTCCACCTGGGTTAAGTTCACTCTCTTCCCTCCCTTCCTCCCTTCCTCCCTCTCTCCCTCCCTTCTCTCTCTCTTTCTTGTGGTGGAGAAATTGGCTTTAGGACAAAGAGCAAGCCTCTTCCTGAGGGACTTCAAGCAGATGTATCGACTCCATGCCCCCTGAGGACAGGGCCGATCCCAAACTTTTGTTAAACAGGACCATTAGGAGGAGGTGGTGCAGATCAGGACTCTGTGCCTGGTACAAATGGCTAACAAGCTAACTGAAAGGTCGGAGGTTCAAATCCACTCAGAGGTACCTGGAAGAAAGGAAGACCCGGCTGTCCACTTTTGTAAAGTCAGCCACGGAAGCCCTCAGGGGTTGCCATCGGTCAGCAACTGGCTTTAACTGATGTGTGTGAGGTGAAATATGGTGTCGGGTCCCTACAGTGCACTGGGTTGTTGCTGTCACCCCACGTCAAGTCAACAACCTGCTCTTTTTTGCCTCCCCTTGTTCCAATTCTGTCCCGAGCTGCCTGGGGGGCCAGTGGCAAAGTCCCCCGTCAAGGTCCAAATCTTCTTGGGACTCTTAATTTACTCCAATAAACACCACAGGTGTGGCCAGGTGTGGGTGGGGCAGGGAGGGATGAAGATTTATAACTACTGAGGGGACACTGTAACTGCCATCCTTCATACCAGGTGGAAAGGACCGAGTCCCCCCTGTCCAGTCCTCTCCCCCAGTGCCATTCATACCCAGGCCCAACTCACTTGTGCAGACCATACTTGACTTGCCCGAGGAACATCACGGCCTTCTCCCCCTGGATATCTGGGTAGCTGGTTCGCTGGAAGGCTTTCTGGATCACCTTGGTGGTCTCCTGGTTCACTGGAAGGGTGGACAGTGGCTTGGACTCTGGATGAGGGTGAGCCCATCATCAAGTATCAGAGTTTAGGGATGACCGACATGGCCTCGTTCTAGGCATGAGTTAAATGACTATTCTCTGACCTCTGACCCCAGCCAGAGATCCCAGTTAGACCTCAGCCTCTGTATCCTGATCCACAGAAATCCCATGGTCTTAGTCAAATGGCACCCCTATCCCAGTCACCCTAGCCCCAGACTCACTCAGACCATGCTGTGACCCCAAATACACCTCTAATGGACAAAGTCTACAATCCTGGGTCTCACACTTCTGAATAGTCTGGTTTCAGAGATCACTGCATCAAACCTCCCTTTATATAGTGGAAGGGAATTCTGGTGACATAGTCCATGAGAGAACAGGGTGACCATTTTGCTATGCATCAGGAAGCTGGACAATGACTAAGGATGATAGAGAATTGATGCCTGTGAGCTGTGGTACTGGAGAAGAGTCTTGAATATACCATGGACTGCTAGGAGAACAAACAGGTTCATCCTAGAGAGGGTGAAACCAGGCTGCTCCTCGGAGGCAAGGATTCTGAAGCTCCGTCTGACATACTTTGGACATATTGCAAGGAGGGATGAGTCCTTGGAGAGGGACAACATGCTTGGGAGAGTGGAGGGACAGCTCAGGAGAGGAAGACTCTAGATGAGATGGATTGATTCCGTGACTGGGGTTATGGGGGTAGGTGTGTCAGAGACAATGAGGTTGGCTCAAGATAGAGCAGGATTGAAAGCCGTTGTACATAGGGTCACCATGAGTCGCAGGCAACTTGACAGCACATAACAACAACAACAGTCCACGGAGCATTGCTCTGTGATCCCAAAGGCAGAAACTATCTGATGGTTTGTATCCACCAGCATGCTGTGGGAGAAAGAAGGACAATCTCCTGACACCTGCTGGAGGATCCACTAGGCACCAGTTCTGACTTGACAGCAATGAAGAATTTTTTTTAGGGGGGAGGGTGTTGTTGATGGCCTAGTGGTAAGGAGTTGCACTCCAAACACAAAGGCTGGTGGTTCAAATTCACTAATTGTTCCACAGGAGAGAGATGGGAAATCTCCCATGTGAATTACAGTCTCTAAAACCTGCTGGAGAGTCAGCTATGAGTCATTTCTGACTCGATGGTACACAACAACAACAACAACATGTTGTTAACAGGGAACTCAGGTGGCTTAGTGGTCAGGAATTGTGCTTCCAGCGCAAACGTGGTTGTTGTTGTTAAGTGCCATCGAGTCTCAGGAGACTCACAGTGACCCTATGAAGGAGAGTCCTCAACGCTTGGGTGCCTTTCATCCTCTCTCCAGGTTCATAGGGTTTCCGGAGGCAAGCTATTACAGAAGTGGATGCCACTCCTCCTTCTAAGCTTGTTTTCATCGGGGAGCTCCACCCCACTCTCTGTCCTCATTGGGTAACCAACCAGTAACGCATTTCACACATCCATGTCACAGTGTTCAGCCTCACAGCACCCACAAGTGACCGCTGTACGGCACGTGGACACACCAGGGCTATATGACATTTTTGATATTGCAAAGGTACAAAGTTAAAATCCACCAGCTGCCCCACAAGACAAAGGTGGGCAATCTCCTCCCAGGCGACTTACCGCCTCTGAAAACCCGCTGGAGGGGAGTTATGTCTGGGTTCCAGTTCTGACTGGAAGACACACAACAACAACATGATATTAATGAGGTACCTTTAGAAGCTGATAATGATGTAGTCATCCCACGTGATGTGATCTGAGATGATATCAGCCAATAAATTCAGGGGGTCAGGGTGGGGTGCCAGGCCCCTCATTAGGTTACAGTCATAACCAGATGAGAGGGGAGTTTCGGCCTGTAGACCTTTTGTCTTATGTGGAGAGAAAAGGAGATGGAAGAGGCAGCAGCAGGGGCCCAGCCTCAGCCCTCGGTCCCCGTACTGGGAAGCTCACCCCAGGGGAAGGGCAAGGCATAAGGAGACTTCAAGGAATCTCAGGCCCACAGAAACAGGTGGGAAAATTACTTTCTTCCGAAGCTGACAGAAAGAACAGTGACCCCGAGAGCTTGAATTTAGACTTCTAGACACCTAACCTGTGAGGGAATAATAAGGCATCTACAGTATCTGTATTATAACCAGGTGGACTGACATGGTGACTGCTGCAACGGGCTCTAGTGTGTCAGGAAGTGTGAGGGTGGCACGGGATAGGACGCAGGTCACATTTGTTCTTCATGGGGTTACTGTGGGTCAGACTTGATTCAAAAGCACATAAAAACAACAACTATTATAATAGCATCCAGATTATCCGGGAGGCTGGGCTCTATGAGGAGAAATGTGGGGTCAGGATTGGTGTAAGATCTATCAACAATCTGAGTTATGCAGATGATGCAACCCTGCTTGCTGAATCTGAGGACGACCTGAAGCACTTGCAGACGGTCAAGGACTGCAGCCTCCAATATGGATTGAGGCTCAATGTCAAGAAGACAAAGAGTCTCACCACTGGTCCAACTGGCAGCATCAGGATGGATGGTGAAGAGATTGAGATTGTACACAGCTTTAGTTTGCTTGGCTCCACAGTCTCGGCACCAGTAGCCAGGAAATTAAAAGATGTCTTGTGATGGAAAAAGTCTGATGTTAGGGACCTCTCCAAAGTACTGAAGAGCAATGGTGTCTCTCTGGAGACTAAGGTGCATCTGATACAGGCCATGGTCTTTGCAATCACTTGTTATGCGTCACAGAGTTGGACAAAGATTAGGAAGGATAGAAGAATTGATCGAGAAGAGTACTGAGAGTACCGTGGACTGCTAGGAAAACAAACAGATTCATTCTGGAGAGGGTTAAACCGGGCGGCTCCTTGGAGCCAAGGATTCTGAGACTTCGTCTGACATATTTTGGACATGTTTTAAGGAGGGACCAGTCCTTGGAGAGGGACATCGTGCTTGGGAGGGTAGAGGGATGGCGCAGGAGGGGAAGGCCCTCTATGAGGTGGATTGATTCAGTGACTGGGATAATCGGGATAGGAGTATCGGAGACAGTGCAATTGGCACAGGACAGAGCAGAGTTTAGGGCTGTTGTACATAGGGTCACAAGCGACTCGATGGCACATAACAACAACAATTATAATAGCACTAGATAAGTAAGGCACACAGACAGACAGACGGACTCACTCCTCCCAGCAAATACACACTGACCCCTTCACCTTCACTAGAGCCTGAATCCCCCACGCACCTCGGCTATAAACCTTAACTGAACTCTCAGAATGACTGTGAATCCCCAGCGTTGACCTGGATACGCTGGGCTCCTCAGCCCAGCAGAGACTCATCAGAGAGCTTGACCTTGAAGGCCAAAGCCTTAGAGAGCCAAGTGGCTTTACTTAGCCCATCTCGCTCAGGCCACTCCCATCTCTGGGCTCCAGCTACCCTGAGCAGCCTGTGGGTTGAGGGGTCCCGAAACAGTAGACATCCATAGAAGGGGCTCCGGTGAGACAGACAGAGGACGCGCGGTGGTACTTACACACCAGAGTGGCAGGTTTGGTGATACGACACACAATGCCCGCCTCGTAGGAGGGGTCTTTGGAGCGGGGGTGGGCACTGCCCAGCAGGGCCAGGGCCAGCAGGATGGCAGCAAACATGTCCTCAGGCAGCGGCAGGAGAGTGGTCAGGGTAGCTGGCCCAGAGTTCTTATGTGCACGCCCTCCCTGCCCCACGCCCCACGGGACATGAGGCACTTTCCTGGCAGCAAGACCTTCCCTGATTGCTGCAGCTTCCTGGTCTCAGGGAGGGGATTCGAAGTCTTCCTGCCCTGCCCTGCCCTGCAGCACCCACCCCTTCACAGACCTGGGGCCACGGTCTAACTGGGGTACTGGCCCAGAGACTCCCGCAATGAACCCGTCTTGCCACCTTCTGCATCATCCGGAAAACTGTTTCTTGGATACTTTTTCTAGAATTTATTTTTTCTTCTTATTAAAAAAAAAAGAAAAAGAAAAAAACTTGATTTAAAAAAAAACTTTCTCTCTCATTGGTTGTACAGTGACAATGGAGCTACTGTTGCCTGACAGTGACTCCAAATTTGAAGCCTGTGGTTGTAGGTAAACCCTCAAAACACTCATGAAGGTGGAGTTTGAACCAACTCACAGCTGCCCCTCCAGGGCTTGTCTGAGGCTGTCAAATACATAGAGGAGATTGTCAATCTTTTCCCTGCAGGACTTCTAGTGGGGTCAACGCTCCAGAGAGGTGCTGCCTACGGGTTAACAGCACAACTCACCACGGATTACACTACCAGGACTCCCCATCTGGAAATTAAAGCTCAACTGAAAAGAAAATACAAGAAAGGGCACCAGTGAGTGCTAAAGGTTTCCAACACTGGCCCTCCCTTTCTTTTGATGTCATTGGACAGACCGCAAAGACCCAGTGCTCTCATGAGAGAGCTCAGGACTTTCAGAGGACTTCCTGCGCAGCTGTGCTGCAAACTGAAAAGAGGGGCCTCTCTGGAGGTTCAAATCCTCCAACCACTCAGAAGAGAGATATTTGATTCAAATAATTGATTCAAAATGGCCCATGCCAGTCCACCTCAACTCGTCAATGCCCAGTAAGCTGGGAAAGAAAAAGTGAGGAAAAATGGAGTCATATTCATAGTAAAAAAAATCATTTCTAGATTCATCCTGAAATATGATGCTGTGAGTGACAGGGTAATATCCATACTCACACAAGGAAGACCTGTTCATACCACTATCATTCAAACATATGCACCAACATCTAGAGCCGAAAGGAGGAAAAGAAATAGAAGATTTCTACCAACTTTTGCAGTCAGAAAGTGATGAAACATGCAACCAAGATTCATTAATAATAATGGGTGGTTGGAATTAAAAAGTTGGGAAGAGAGAAGAAAAATCAGTAGTTGGAAAATAGGGACTTGGTGACCAAAATGAGGCTGGAGATAGATGATAGAATTTTGTACAATGATTTATGCATCACAAATACCTTTTATAAAATACACAACTGGTTGCAACACCCCCATGATACATCTTGAAGGATATGTACATGTACAGCCAAGCACAATCAATAAGAGTGCATCTGAATTCCAAAATCAATC